TAAGAATGCTCTCCCTTGGGGCTGGGGATTTAGCTCAGTGGCACCTGCACCTCCCTCACAAGCACAAGGTCCTGAGTTCGATCCCCGGTACCAAAAAAACAAAGAATGCTCTCCCTACAGCCTTCATAACATAAGGTCCTCATTGACCTAAGATCCTCCTCAGCATGTGAGCCACCTTCACCCCCTGCCCAGTCACCTGATGCTACCTCCAATTATTGTGTACCCAATAAACAGTGGCTAGCTCAGAGTGTCCTTGTCTTTGGCCACTCTGAGGCACTGACCTCCCAGCCCCCGCCTCTATACTTTGAAATTACAGAAGTCTCTATTGTCTTTTTTTCTTTAGCTCTCAACATCCTCCTTTCTAGGCAGTCGGAGGATTGATCACCCTCCAATAATAAAAGTTATTTAAAACTTATGAGTTGTTTTTTTCTGGATTTTTCCATTCAGTATTTTTGGACTGTGGCTGACTTTGGTAACTAAAACTGCAGAAAGCAAAACCGCAAATAAGGGGGAATGGCTGTATATGCTAATCACAGGATCATTACACTGCTGGTATTATATATAACATACTGTTGCATGAGAAAACAACATATGCTATCATTTTTTAAGTCTATCATATACTATGAAAAATTTCTGTTAAGATAGTCACCAAAACGTGCAGAATCGTTATGACCAAAGTTGATCTTTACATTTTCTATTTCCCTATGAAGAAGAGTATATAATGCTTTTTGTTTTGTTGGGGTTTTTTTGTACCGGGGATTGAACTTGGGATCTTATGCTTTTGAGGCAGGTGACGGCACCACTGAGCTAAATCCCCGGCCCTTTTTTTTCTGAGACAGGGTCTTGCTATGTACCTAAGGCTGGCCTTGAAATCACTATGGAGTCCAGGCTGGCCTCAAACTTGTGGCAATCCTCCTGCCTCAGCCTCCCAAGTGCTAGGATTACAGGCATCCACCACCACGAGTGGCTACATCATGCTTTTTAAATAAAAATAATTAAACCTTTCTTTTCTCCCCCTTACAAGTTAGGTAAAAGATCCATGGAGTCCTCAGTATACATACTAGGAACAACTGCCCTCTCTAGCTTTATTTCCCTTCTCCTCCTCACACTGTGGGGCCAGGGAAAATGGCCAGTCCACTCCACTCCACACAGGGCCCCCCTGCTGCTCATCCTGTCCCTCCTCTGTGATCCTGTAACACGAATGGGTTCTCATGATACAGCTTTCTAGGCCAAGTCTCCCTAAATAGGCCAAAACCTTCCTGGGAGAGGAGAGGCCCTAGGCTGTCACCACATCCCTGCCTCCACAGTGAGCTGGCCTGGACACTGACCTAACATTTTATCACAGTCACGTTCAGACACAGAAGGAGAGTCACCTAAATTTCTTAGGTGGCTGAAATTTTTTCTTGGTATTACTCCTAACTTCAAAGTTAACACTGTGACAGTGACAAAGTACAGGGAAAGTGACACAGCAGAATGCTTAGCCCAGCATGAATTAGCTAATATTCCAATTGTCTTGAAGTTCAAGTTGAGAAGAAGCCCAGGGAGCCGTCCACCTTCTCCCTGTCAAGAATTCCAAGATCTATCCTGCAGATCATGTTCAGGGGTCACTGTGTTCCTTTACTAACAAATATTGACTGAGAGCAGTCAACTCCAGAGACTGCACGAGGTTCTGAGGGCACAACAGTGAAGACACTATGTTCCTTCAGGAAGCTTACATCTGGGGGACAGATCAAGGGGCGAATAAACAAAAACAAGGAAGCAGACAAAATAACAAACAAACAATGACAAACTTATACAGCTGCTACGGAAGAAACCTCTGTAACTTTTCCTAGCCCCACAGACTCAGACTCCTCCCGGCCATCTGCTTTCCATCATTTCTTCATGGCACTTTATACTTGAGCCTTTTCTGTGCTTAAAAAACATTTCCCCTTCTAGACAGTCAACATGCTGAGAGCGGACAGTGGGCAGTACGGGTGTCCAGCACGTACTAGGTCAACACTAGTCTCTGAAATCAGCGGGACTGAACTGGATCTGTGGCACGTGGGATGTTTGGTCTGCCTCGTTTTTTACGCCGCGGACCCTGTTCCTCAACATTCCCTGCGTGAGCGTGGACTAAGGGTTCAGAGATCCAGTCTGGGACTGAGCAAGAAAAACAAAGACAAAACAAAAACAAAAAAACCCACCACCCTTCCATCAGGGCGTGGTCCTCACCAGGCCCAGCTGAGGGAAAGCAGAGTCCTTTCTTCTGGCTAAAAATAACCGGGTGTACTATCCCCCCAGAGGTGGAGGGAAAGAGGAAAAGAACTAGATGACCTCGCCAGGACACCGCCTCCCAACTCTGTCCGTAAGCCACGCCGGGACGACCCAGGACCGTGCAAGCGCACACAAACGGGGAGGAGTCCGCTGCGCGCCATAAGGAGCGCGGACAAGCTAATCTGACTGAGGAAGCGACTCCGGGGGCGCCGCCGGGGGCCCGGGCGTCCGAGGGTCCTCAAGCTGCGCTGCGGGGCTGTGCGACCCTGGGCAAGTCACCTAACATCGGGGTCTGCTCCCCTCCTCGGTAAGAGGAACCTCAACAGATGCCCTCTAAGGTCTGAAGAAGGTAAAAGCTTCGCGGACCCTAAGTGAAAACAGAAGTGGGCAGTCGGCGGCCAGGTTCCGGATGTGCCAAGTTTAAACTCGCCGAGGGGAAGCGGGAGAGCAGCGGCGGCGGCAGGCGAGCAGGGCTCGCACCCCCTGGCAGGTCCCCTCGGGCGCGCCCGAAGCCCCCGCCTGGGACCCACTCACCTCCAGAGACGTGTGCGCTCGAACCAGCTCCCCGGCGGACTGTGGCAGCCGCACTCGCCGCCCGTCCACGAGCAGGGGCATAACGGAGAAGGGAGCGGGACAGGCCCTGGGAGGCGGCGGCCGCCCTAGTCCGGCGCTGCCGCCGCCCCCGACTTGAGCAGCCACATCCTGTCCGTCCCGCCCCGCCGCGGATATTGCTGGGAAATGTAGTCCGATCCGAGGCAGTGTTGCTGCGAGAGGGCCGGGAAAAGCAGGACCGGGCTCAAGGCCTCTCGGGAAATGTGGTCCAACGCGGAACGGAGCCGAAAGCGGGCGCCAGGGGCCTCCTCCGCAAGCGGCGCTGGGAAATGTAGTCTCGAAAGCGTGGGAGTAAGGGAGGGGGAACGGGGAGAAGCGAACTCCATGAGACCCTTGGCTCACTTTCCACACGGAGTGCGGCCTGGCCTGAGGACGGGTTTTGGGTTGGCCAGCTTCCCTTCAGGTCCCTGCCCCACCTTTTCTCCGGTGCATGGCCTTGCTATTGCTCAGGCTTGAGTTGGAGTGTCTGCTGTGCTGCCCTATAGGATCGTACACAACCAGTAATTGACGGAAACCATCTTTTTTCTTTTCTTTTTTCAGAGTCTCGCTATGTAATTCAGTTTAGCCTCGAACTCGCGGCCATCCTCCTGCCTCAGCCTCTCGAGTGTTGGGATTACGGGGATGTGCCACCACGCTAGACTTGACACAAACCGTTTTAAACTGAGAAAACAGATCCATACTGTGCTAGTCCCACACATCAGAAAACTGGTCCTGGCGCTTGCCTGAAACCTCAGCACTCTGGGTGGCTGAGGCAGGAGGATCATATGTTCGAACCCAGTCTGAGAACTTTAGCAGTCCAAGTAAAAAAAGGACTGGGTACATAGGTCAATTATAAAGGCCCTGGGTTGGGTCGTCAGTAACACGTGGCGCTTAGGGGACACAATACAAGTCGGCTAGGGACTCTTGGGAAACAGTCACTGCTCTGAGGACAGGCACCCATGGTGGGAGATGGCTGCCCATCATTACTCAAACCAACCCAACTCCACAGTACCTGAACAAAAGGCAGCTTTATGAAAGGTACGCACCTCACTCGGCAGGAACTCCATCATGTCTGCTACATCCACTCCCCCCTCAGATTACAAGCCCCCTTCAACAAAATAATAATCAGAGAAGTGACGGTAGGAGACGCTCATGAGTGGCCCCAGCCTCCTCAGCTTCTTCACCCAAATAACTTTTATTTCTTGCTATCACCAAAGTACTTCTCTATATTAACACACCCATGTGCCCAAAATACGGGTCAGTATCAACCACTATTAGGCCTTAACTTGCCCAGTTATACAAATAATAATGTCAGTGGTAGAGCTAAGATTAAACTCAACTTTGTGTACAAAGCTAGTGCTATCACCTTAATATATTCCTAGACAGGATTATAAGCAACTTGTAATGCTGGTAAAATTCAGTAAATCCCAAGTAGGAATATCTGAGCCAAGATCAGGGTTTGAATTCAGTGATCAATTATCAGCTGTGTAACCTTGACCAAGTTAACATCTCTCCAAGCCTGATGGGCACGGGCGCAAACCTGTAAACCCAGCGCTGGGGAGGTTTCAGGCAGGATCCTGGGAAGCATGAGTTCAAGACCAGCCTGGGGTGCATAGTGAGACCGTCTCAGTAAGTGATTTTTTCCAAGTAACTTCAGGCTTATGAATCTCTAGACCAGTGGTGGCGAACCTATGGCATGCATGCCGCAGCCTGCTGTTATCACTAAAAGCTGTAAAAGGGTCACCATCACTGCTCTAGACTGTGTCTGCATCTTGGATTAAATTGCCTGGCCAGATATGAAGAAAATCTTGCTCACCTACCCACAATGTCATTATGTTCATGTAATTTCAAGGACATTTCACTATTTTTGTATAGTTGTTCTTTCAAAGCATGTAATTTTCTTTGGAGAGATGTTTGTTTCCTTGTACCTGGTTCAGGCCTGTGACTCTTGGCTGGATGTGCTCAGGGAAAGCCCTGGACACTTCACACAACATACATGGAAGCCATCCTCATCACGGTGTGCCGTTTATTTCTCAACACTCCCAAAGTATACACTGGTAATAGTCCCTACTTAACAGTGAGGACTCAGAAGCAGTTTTCCAACATAAAAAAACAATACATTAATACAACAAATCAGTAACACACACACATCAAAAGAATGTCTATGTGAGAAGTCTTTATTAAGGTACCCCTCTTTACTGACATAAGAATGAAAGTTCCAGATTAACCATATCGTTTTATTTTCACAATGGATATTTTCCTCAAACCCCTTTAAAATTACGATTTATCTGTAAATAAATGTATTCTATATTATAACTACTTCCCAAACCACAAAGACCCCATCCACTCCTCCCAATTTCTGTGGATACAATTTCATTTACTTTATCCAATATACAAAAATCCATGTTTTTATCAGCAGTTAAAAAAAAAACAGAGAACCTTGAAGGTTCTTTAATGACTTTGAATCAAGTCACCAAGAAAAAAGTCACCAATATCCAAAACCTTGTGGTGTATGTGCTGAAGTGAGCACCCAAAATCTCTTAAAGCAGTAAGTTTCCTTTTTCCAAAAAGATTATTTACAGACTGAAATTCAAACTCTACATTGCTGTCAATGTAATCATACAAGAGTATATACAAGAGCCTAGGAAAGAAGTAATATTACAAAATATTTGTGATCATGAAAATACTGCTTGCCTTTAAATAGACATGGCAGATAAATAAATATGCTTAAAGATGATCATCTTCACAAATACACAAAGTATACATACAAGGAACAAAAGGGAAACATACTTGAGGTTCAAAGTGCCTCTGGAAGCACTTGCACAAAGTCGTTCAAAGCAAGGCTAAGACTCCTCTCTCAGGGCTTTTTTTTTTGTACTGGGGATCGAACTCGGGTCCTTGCACTTGCAAGGCAGGCGACGGAACCACTAGGCTAAATCCTGAGCCCTCTCTCAGGGTTTATTATAAAAATATGGAGACTTGCTCCAGAAGGATTTCATCAGGCCAAATCGATGATATGCACAGCCATTAGATGGATCAGCAGGAGTAACTTTGGCCTATTGTGGACAGCAACCATTCCACCAAATAATCAAGAAACACTTCAAAATAACCAAATGATACTGGTCAAAACCAAATGTAACTAGTGCAAATTGGCAGAGTCATTTCTAATAGAATGCTTGGAAGTTGAAGGGTGAAGCAGTGTTTGGTGTGTTTTACAAAAGCCCAACCCACTTTGTCAACACAAATTACATTTACCTGACCTCTGCTTTTCTTCCAAATCCATCTTTACACCGATAAGTACACCATCTGTGTGACCCTGTTTCCATAAATGCCTTCTCTCTTCCCTCCTGTCGTCTACGGTCCTCGGAAGTCCCTGGAGATGTGGCCTCTCAGCCCAGCTCCAGCATCTCCCCACTTTCATCTTCTCTGAACTCAGTAAAGTCCCAACACACAAATACAATTACAGCAGAAAGTAAACAAATACAGACAAAATAAACATTCTAGCTTTTAAACAGAGGATTTATCCGAGGATTTTTTACTGAAATCAGATCAAGAAAGTTTTTTGACTATGGCTCTAAAAAGAACTGATGTTTAAAAAGGCCTTCTATTAAAATGGGCTAGTGCTGATACTAAAAATTACACAACATTAAAAAAAGATACACATTAAACAAGCAGTCTTCAACATTTATCATAACCCCTCTATAAAATATTGCACATAATAGTCTTTTCCTTTTGTCTGTAAGGGGAGAAAAAAAAAAAACATAACCGAAAAAGTGTCTATCAGACGCTAAGGAGTCTAAGTGGAACACACAGTGCCCGCAGTCTGTACTGTAGTCCAGTCAGCGCCAAGAGTACACGCCTGGACACCAAGGCCATGCCAGGAAGAGCAATGCACCTCAATCACAAATTCTTGAGATAAGCGGGGACTGGCCAGGCATGTATACCACTGGTGGGGAGCCCACACTACTGGAAGGACTTCGGAAATGTGCATCAAAGGAGCTTGGTGTAATCCCAATCACGGAATCGTTCTGAGGCACTTCACCTTTCAAAAAATCATCATCTTCATCTTCTACCATCTCCTAGGATACAAAACCCAGATTATCAATAAGATCACAAACACTGGTTTGAAAGCTTTCAAGAATTCCTTTCCTGCTAGACCCAGTTGTATGCACTTGAATTCCAGATACTTGGGAGGCTGAGGCAGGAGGATTATTTGAGCCCAGGAGTTTTAACACTAGCCTGGTGAACACAGCAGACCTCATCTCAAAATATCCTTTCCACGGGAATGGGCTAGTTCTTTTTTATTTCTATTATTTCATTTATTTATTTATTTTGGTATCAAGGATCAAACTCAGGACCTTGTGCTTGCCAAGGCAGGCGGCAGAACCACTGAGCTAAACCCCTGGCCCTCTTTTTTATATTCTGAGACAGGGTCTCACTATGTAGTTCAAGCTGGCCTTGAACTCACTATGTGTTCCAGACTGTTCTAGAACTTGTGGTAATCCTCCTGTCTCAGCATCCTGAATGCTGGATTACACGCATGTGCCATCACGCCTGGCAGGAATGTGCTATTTCTACAAAGATAAAGATAAAATATCTTAATTTCAAAAGTTTCCTAGGGCTGGGGATTTAGCTCAGTGGCGCCATGCCTGCCTCACAAGTACAAGGTCTCGAGTTTGATCCCCAGTACTGAGGAAAAAAGTTTCCTTTGATACTTAGTCCATTATTACAAATTATCCAAACAACTGCTCACCACACCTTATAATTATTTTGTTTAAAGTTTGATTTTCAAACATTTTAATCTCAATGAAGGCAGATAAAATAACATGGCATTCTTGCTCAGTGTTATAGCCTTTGTACCTAATCAGACTGAGTGAATGAATGAACCCCAAGATGCAAAATATAAAGACAAAAATAAATTAGGCCTCCCAAAGGTTACTTATTAAGCAAAGGAGACAGGGCAGGGGAAGGCAGTTCAGGTAGAGCACCGGCCAGCAAGCACAAGGCCCTGGCTTCCACCCTAGTACCAAAACAACAACAAAAAGAACATTAACTCAGGTCTAGGCTATTGCAAAGGTAAAATGAACACAGCATTAATAAAGTGTAACATTGCGGTTTACCATGTGACCGTGGCCTGTCTCCACCAAAGCCTTCTGAGGAAGTGCAGCTTCATACATGTACCTTTTTAATGGGCTTCTTAAGCTCCTGAAGCTCTTCAGCACTCATGTCCTCCCACGTCTGATAAATGGGATCGATGAACTTCTTTGACCTGTCAACAGGGATCACATTTCAGTCAGGCTGAACATTTCATCACAATCACATTATGCTTTTCTCTCACAAGATCCATTTTCCAAAACCAAGAAGACTACAGCTCAAATAATATTAAAGAAAATATCCCACGTAAGTACTGTAACTGATGAGGCTTTTTTGTTGACTTCATTCACTCCTACAGATGAGATTTCAAAATACTGTTTCCCATATTTCAAGTTGAACTGTTTCTAAGCTACAAAGGGTGATCAAAACATACAGTGCATGTTTAAATTTTTTTCAAGTTTTTTCCCCCAGTACCAGGAATCGAACCCAGGACCTTGCCCTTGCCAGGAAGGTGTAGTGCTAAGCTACATCCCTAGCTCCTAAAAAAGTTTTAATAGTAAAAATTACATAGCCAAGAACGATGACTGTGTTCAAAGTGAGGGGGAGTATTTCAGGTGGGGTTCAAAGACACTCTTAACTCTCAAATTTAGCAAAAGCAAGTATCTATCACAGTTAAACTCCCTGCTGCCACTGTCTGGTGTTTGGAAGCGCCTACCTCTTAAGCACACAAGGATCAAAGGGGAAGAAGGTGTCGAGCGGGTTTGTGCAGGTCTGCACTGAGTCCCCTCCACCCGTATTTCTAATAACTGGTAGCATCTGCCGATTGTTCCTCTCAATGATAGTGTAGCAGAAGACTAGCTGGTATTTACTGTGGAACAAGCAAGACCAACACAGATGGAGACAATTAGCAGGCTGGAATTACTCCTGTATGGACATAGCACGTGTGACAATTGTGATGACCACAGAGCTACTGATGAACTTGGTACAAAAAAAAATAGCATAAAACACCTTTATGGCAGTTTCCTTGGCCTATTACAAGCTTGCAAAGAAAGAAAATGTGGCTATCATTGCTTAGAATATGAAAGTGGGCTTAGCTTAATAGCTATTTTGAAAAATTAACCTGTCTACAAAGCAAAATTCTTAGTTTACATAGATAGGTGGTTTGTTTGCAAAAGCTCCGGGGCACTGGTGAAGAGGGGAGTCGGCAGCTTCCGGGGGGATAGGGGTTGTTGATGGGAAGCCTGGCTGCTGCTGAAGAAAACCCTCCACTCTCACAGGAGGTGACTGCTGCAACTGTAAAAACACATAGCCCAGACAGGCATCTCTCTCCTTCCTGGTGGGAGAGTAAACCAGCAAAGCGCAGGGGAAGGTGCAGGGGAAGCCCTCGATCCCCTACAGCCTAGCGACTGCACTTCTTTGGGTGTGTGACAAGGAGTATGACCTTGTACACCGGGACATACAGAGAATGTTCCTAAGCTGTTGTTCCCAATACTGGAAAACTAAACAGCTTAAATCTCAAAAAAGGCCTGATGATACAAAAAAACACAGTAGTTAAAAATAAAAGTTCTACCAGTCAATATAGGCGCAGCTCAGAACCACCAAGTAAGCAAAACCAACGGCTGCAGAATGATACACATAAATTCCTAGATACAGACCTTTATTTCAATCCTCTGCTCTCAGCCGCACATGCCAACCCTGAACCTCGAGCCTCTGCCCCTCGGGGCTACTGGAGGGCTGCTTCCTCTGCTTTACCTCATCAGTCTATACTCCTCCAGCTGCTTCCTGTCTGTATCAGTGTGCGTGCATCTTTCACCCACTCAATACCACTGTTTCTAGGTTCTTTTTCTAAACTCTTTACTTCATCTTCTCTTCTGTTTTTTGACAGTGCCGGGGATCAAATGTAATCATCTAGGGTGCCACACATGCCAAGTAAACATCCTACCATTGAGCTACAACCTTCAGCCCTATCACTTTGAGATCTCAGGAGAAAGGATACCTTGAACTAGATGCCCCACAAATAACTGAGGTTGCTGAGAGTAGCAGGCTAAGGAGAACAAGCCATAAAAAAAGAAGTCTGAACTGCTGAAGATTTTAAGCTATGACCCTACCTGAATATCCTACTTAAGTGACCAAAGTCTAAATCACTGTCTCCTTGAAGCAGAGTGACTTAGTGAGTGCTAACGAAGGAACCAGGCTGGGTACACTTGTTTTTTTAAATTTCTGCTGCTGGAGACTGAACTGAGGACTTCATGCACGATAGGCAAGGGCTCACCACTAAGCAACAGCCCAACCCCAGCTGCGTGCATTTACATCTCAGCTCGGCAGCCTAGCTAGGGACATTAAGCCTGGAATTTAACTTTTCTGTGCCTCCACCTCCCCATTTATAAATGGGGAAATAAGACAACCACAAGGTTGTGTGAGGCTTAAACGAGCTCTATGTGACGTGCTTGGACTGTACCTGACACACAGCAAAGGCTATGGATCAGCTATCATTACTCAGCCTGAGAGCAGACAGTCCTCTTCGAAACTAACCTCCTGGGGAATACAGACCTCCTAACCAGTTTATTATTACTGCTATTGTGGCACTCTGATAAGCACCTTCAGTTTACATGTCCTCAGTTTACTAGTTGCCTTATGCAAACTGCCTAGGCTTCTGTCAAATTATCCCCTTCAAATAAGTAGTAGCCATTTCCAATGACACCAAGGTACAAAAACAATAGCTGCAATGAAATAGTTCCTGTAGGGGCTAGGTTATTAGTGTTTCAATTTTTTTTCTTTTTTTGAGACAGGGTCTTACTATGTAGTTCAAGCTGGCCTCAAACATGAGGTGATCCTCCTGCCTCAGCCTCCCGAGTGATGAGATCAGGTTTGCACTCCCACGCCTGGCTTCTACTGTTCTATTATTAATTCTCAAACATTTAATGGAATTTTACAGGACAAACACAAACATAAATTTACTTTTAGTGCCTTAACACAGCAGTTTGCCTCAGAAATTTACCTTTAAATAACATCTATAAAAGAAATAACTTACTTTGTGATAGCAGCAAAGAAGTTAACCACTGATGGCAGGCAAATCTTCAGAGGGTTTAGCTGGCTCATCACTATACGTTCAAAATTTAGACTCTGAAGGTACCTTAACCCTTCAATTTAAATGAAAAAAACCCAAGATTTTTAGAAAGGTACAAATACATTCGAAAAGTCTAAGATATCTTCAACAACACAAATTACCACATATTGATAAAACAATTTAGGGCCAGGGTGGTGGCACATACCTGTAATCCCACCACTGTGTGACTGAGACAGGAAGATCTGGAGTTTGAAGCCAGCCTGAACCACACAGTGAGACCCTGTGGCCAGTAGTATAGTATGTGCCTTACCCTTCATTTCTTCATTCATTCTTGCTGTACTGTACTGAAGACTGAATCCAGTGCCTTTACACTGAGCTACATCCCAGCCCTTATTTGATTGAGGGAAGTTCTTACTAAATTACCCAGCTGGGGCTCAAAACTTGATACCCTCCTGCCTCAGCCTCCCAGAGTGTTGGGATTATAGGTGTGTGCCATCATGCCTGGCTTTTTTCGCTTAGACACACCATGAAACTGATTGCATTCACTTAGGACTGAAACAGCTTTTCTGAATACAGCTGATTCCTTTCAAGACCCAAGTAAGCACATGGTCTCTGTGGGCTGTAGGACTATGAAAATGTGGAATGCACACATACCATATGCTGTTGAGAGGGGGAAACCACGAGGTCTGATTACAGCTAAAATCCTAACAGGTACAAAACTACAAAACTACCTCGTTTTAAACTGCATATCTTGGATTATGAGTGAAGTTCACCAATGTTTTCAGGTGTGATCAGCTTGTATTTCTTTTTTTTTAGACAAAACCCCTACCTTGGAACTAATTATCTCCTAGAAGCTGGGCATGGCTAGGGTCATTTGTGCTCCCAGTGACTCAGAAGGCTGGGGCAGGAGGATCTCAAATTCGAGGACAGCCTGGTGATACCATGATAGCCTCTCTCATACACCTCTCCTACCCTGGTAAAATAAGACACTTCAAGATCCCTGATATTTATGTTTACAAAAAGCAGAGATTTCCTTACCTTGTGAAGCCTCATCTTCCTACTAGTTCACACGTCAATGCCCACATCTTTTTAGTATGCAGGGTATAAGTAAATACATGAAACAACACATGAGCACTTCAGTACAGCACTCTGGTTCTTGCCCTAAGGACACTGTCCCCAGAGGACAGGTGGCAGTGCCTGGAGGTACTTGGAGTATAGTTGCCACAGTTGGGGGGGGGGGGGGCGGTGCTAGAGGCTTCTGGTAGGTGGATGTGAGGGATATTGCTAAACAACTCACGGGATAGCCCTCCACAGCAAAGGATTATTCAGCCCAAAATGTCAAGAGTGTCAAGGCCGAGACCTCGGCTTACGGGAAACAGCTGTAATTTATCTGATTTTTCATGAAAATAAAATAACCTAAACTGACTTAATTACATTGTTCTTGGGATTCTCTTCACCTGAAAAATACATTAACACATCTCATCTGGTAGGTTTGTTACAAATAAGCCTCAGAAGTCAGCAAAATGGAACACTGGTGAATTATCTCTCCACACTTCAGAGGAGCAGAATCCTATGACCACAAGCTTTATAATCAGCCTGGCATGGCTTCGGGCTCTAATCCGGGCAATAACTATGTGACCCCAAGCACAGCCCTCCAGTGGGCTGTTCCACGGACAGGGACAGGGTGCGTCGGAAGTGTGCAGGGCACCGACACAGCACAAGCGCTCCACTCTCGAAAGCAGGGATCAACTGCAAACCAATCAACAGTTAAAGAGGAGGAGGCTTAAAGGGCTTGTAGGAGCCTGTGAAATGCTTGAAATTATTTGTAAAAGTGTGAGTGCACATGCAGTTTTCTGAATCCATAGTTTCCAATAAAATTTCAAAAAAAGAAAAGAACTATCATTCTGAAGTATGATGAGTATGTTAAGAAAACCCAATTTGAGGCCACCAGTCCCACATACTGACCTTCTTTCAGGTTTCCATCTAAAAGCTGCTTGTGTCTAAAAACAAAGGTGTAGAACACAGCTTGGCATGCTGAATAAAATGGGCCGTGGAGCGCAACATCACAAAAAGCCTTTGCTCCTGAATCCTGGTTATTAAGGTACAGGTGCAGCCAATCAACCAAAAGATCGAGGCACGACTTTACAGTACTGGAAAGAAGAAAAGCTCAGGTCAACTCTACTTGTTCATGAGAAAACTCCAGGGACATAAAGATACACAACTGCCATTCGTTACAAACCACAGAAAATTCATAGGCTTTATATACTACCCACGGTTGAGGGTACAGCTTTTCAGTGGTAAAGTGGTTGCCCAGGATGCATGGAGCACTGGGTTTAATCCCCAACTCTAAGGGGCTTCTTGGATGGGCTCCCAGCCCTCAGGACGACATGGCCAAAGAACCAACACCTCACGAACAAGGGTCTGGTGGGCTTCACTACTCCGCATGATATTCTGATGTAGTCCTATGGTCAACAATTTAACCAAGATGGATTTAGTTGTTCCAAAAGGGTTTTTTGTTTTTGTTTTGGTACCAGGGATTGAACTCAGGTCCTTGCGCTTTTGCGCAGCAGGTGGTGAAACCACCGAGCTAAATCCCCGGCCCTCCAAAAGGGTTTTTAACAGTATCTCTGGCTAAAGTGATCTTCACCGATCACCTGAAGAAACTGGCTTTGCATTACTTTTTCTTTTGGTGCAGGGTTTGATCCTAGGGGCCTTACACATGCTAAGCACATGCTCTATCATTGGCCCACACCCTCAATCATTTCTATCACCTTTAAAAGGGCTTTTCTTCAGCTCTAACAGATACAGTTGATTTGGAATGCACATGAAAAATGACAACCCGACAAAATCAATCAAAATACTATATAATGCTGTATTCTATCCACAAAGACAAATGTATTTCACATTCACACGAAACCACACAGAACAGCTAACAAAAGCTTTGCCCGAGGTTTTACATCTAAAACAGAAGACACTTTATTCTGAAAGTGCTTATTGGAAATTTAAATGTCTTACATAGAATGGGGGACAGATCTTTTTCACTTTAAAGATAGGCTCTCCAAAAAAGACAGATATTTCTTTGACCTGACACAATACTATCATCTTTAAAAAGCATGATTAACAAGTACTCCAAAAATTAGGTTACTTACATAAGAGGAACAAATTTAGCTCTTGCCAAAAAGCTCCCAATATAATTTCCAGCAGCTTGCCTGATAATGGCAGGATTATTTGGATCCTGTAATTTTTTCCAGAGATGTTCCAAAAATGCTTCTGCAAATCCCTATAAAAAGAGAACGTGTTAGCCTGATCTCTTATTAATGCTTAAGATATTCTGGCTATCAGAATCCTAAGATTTTTAAATTCTCCAACATGAGAGGTAACTTCTAGTATCTCAGTTAACACCACTAAATAACGAATACAGTGACCATGGTTTTTATTTTTAAAACATCATAAAATAATACTGAAAACTAAAGGCATCCTAGGTAACAAATAGTCCACTGGAACCTAATCCTAGCTGAGCTAAGTGCTGGGCATGTTGGTGCCCATCTGTGCCAGCTACCAGGGAAGCAGAGGTAAGAGGGTCACCTGAGCACAGGAGTTGGAGTCCAGGCTGAGCAAAATAGCGACTCAACAAAAAACTAATCCTGAAGGTGCAGATTCAGTAGATCTAAGACAGGGCTTTGGAATCTGCATTTTTTTTTTTTTGGTACCAGGGATCGAACTTGGGTCCTTGCGCTTGCGCAGCAGGCAGCGAAACCACTGAGCTAAATCCCCAGCCCTGAAATCTGCATTTTGTAAGATGCTTCAAGTGATTCCAGTCCAAACTGGAAACCGAAGAAATCAGCTGCCTTCCCTGGAATGGGAATTACAGTACCTGTTCAAATGGCAAAGTAGCCTTCCTGTCTTTGTGCATAATGGATTTAACTAGCTAGCAACCCCAGGTTTGGGTAGATTAATTTAACTTTCTCACCCATGACCTAACTGTTAAAGGCAACGGAGTTGCAAAGAAAAGGTAACAGCCTTTTGTATTCTCTTCCCCTACACCAAAAGAAACCCAAAGCTTTAAGTTTTAAAATTAGGGATTAAAAAGTTTGGTTGGGGCTAGTTAGAACTCAATCCTGAGAGAGAACAAAGGAAACAGTTAAATATCCATGAGATGCTTTTCTTTGAGACAAGGTCTTGCTATGTAGTCCAGATTAGCCTTAAACTCACTAGTAGCCCAGACTAGCCTCGAATTCCTGGAATCCTCCTGCCTCAGCCTCCTGAGTGCTGGGATTATAGGCCTGTGCCACCACCTCCAGCCCTATATAAGATTTTAATATAAAGTTCTGAAGCAAAGGGCACCACCTAGTGACCAAAGGCATGGTGACATCTTCAGAAACTCCAGCTACACTGACAGGCAGCTACTGGTTTGGTGAAAAGGGTATTAAGGGTACTTAGAAAACAAGCTCAGGTAAAAGAAATCACAATGGTCTCCTTCCACCTGGTTTTTAAGGGAATAATTGTGGGCAAAAATAAGATAATCTTTTTACTTACCAACTTGAAACTACAGAGGTAAAACATGAAAAACTGTACATGACAGGAGGCATGGGTGGGCAATAGGAGTTTGTCAAAGATGGCTATCAAATCACGATATAAATCCTTTGTTTTGTTGATCTCAATCTTACCTGCAGAGAAAATTTGGCATTTCAGTTTTATAAATAGCTATTTTCAAGCTACCATTTCATCTGTCAAATTTTAAAACAGAGCACAATACAAGACATGGCATTACCTACTAGGCTATGATTAAAACACAAAGCAGACTCCAGATTTTGAAGTATAATAACTCATGACTCAGCAAGACTGTCTCAAAACACAAAGGTGCAAAAGCCCTTGGTTTAATCCCACAAGAAGTGTACCCAGTACTGACAAGGAAGCAAGTGGACTGTCACTTCACAACACACAGTTGTGAAGCTATAAATCTAAATTTTTTTTTTAAATCTGAATCTTTTTAAAGGGCAACTTTATAATTCATGAAGCAAAAGCTCTTTGATAGATTAACTGTACTGCCAAGAACTTATCACAAGGAAATAACTGAACACAGGTGTGTAGAATTTCATCATGCTGTTACTTAGTGAAGAAAGAGAAACCAGTTAAATTCATATGATCAAAAAAACAAAAAAAAACAAAAAAAACCCACCACTTTAGGCTAGGATAGGGGAATGCGCCAGTAACCCCAGATACTTAGGAAGCTGAGGCAGGAGAATTCCAGTGTGAAGCCAGCCCGGGCAACTTATTAAGACCCTGTCATAAAATTCAAAAAGTCTGAGATGTAGTTAGGTAGTAGAGCACTTGCTTGGCAAGCATAAGGCCCTAGGCTCAGTCCCTAATACTGGAGATAAAAAAAGAAAACTGTTCTAGAACAGTGAACTGTATGAGAGTATGGTCATAATTCATGTAAAGGGCAAACACTTTTAGTGTGATTCTCTCAAATTCATTAGATTTGTGGGGCTAAGGATATGGTTTAATGGTAGAACGCTTATACACAAGGGTGTGAACCCTAGCACCTAAGTAATCAATCAATAAAGTCATACATACACACGTGCTAACAGGAAAGGGAAACACATCAACGTGCTAATGATTTTTGACTAGTAGGAATGTGGCCACTTAATTGTCCTTATCCTTTCCTGTACGTTCCAAATTTTCTCTAATCAACATGTCTTATTTTTAAAATAGCAAAACAGTTAAAAACAGTAGCAGTGTCAACCAGATTCAAGTCTTGTTATGTCATATAACTAGCCTCATTATTAAATCTTAGCACAGCAGATGGACAAAAATTTTGCCCTTTTTCATAGCAAAGTCCCTAGATTGTTTCATGAGGGCAAGAAGCATACTGGTTTGCCCAGTAGAGTCCCAACATCTGGCGCAACAATGGTACCAAGCAGAGATCCTCTAAACTAAATGTGTTACACCAAGGACCATACTGCAATGCCTTCTAGTGCACCATTTAAAAAAAAAAAATTTCTGAAATGCTTTATTCTTTTGATCAGTATACATCATATTAAGTGTAGAATTTCCTTAAAAATTAATAAATCTGAGTTTCCCTATTAGACCATTGTTATGGAGAGGAAAGTATCTGGCTCTTGACTTTTTACATTTATCCAAGTTCCAAGTAGATTCTCTTATTTAGGTTCTTCTGTGTTATTTCTGTCCAAGTTGTGACAGCTCTCTCATGAATTGCTCAGCAGTGAAAAGCTCACTGCAGCCATACAAAATGTGTTTGCCTTCCTTTCCCTTTATGTAGTCAACAAGATTTTGATATTCAAGGTAGTTGCCTCTTCCCAGCACAAAAACAATTGCCTCTTGGAATGGATTTTTGTTTCTAGGAACTGAGCTGTGACTGCCCCGCAGCATTTTGGGATCGATAGTCATCAGTTTCAGGGTCTGACCTCACCTCCGTGAGATTGTCCAAAATACAGTAAGAGTTACAGTAAGATTCTGATGTTTCAATACCAGGTTCTTCACTCCTTCCATCACAAACTGTGATCCTGTATTCATGACTTGTGATAAGAGACCCACTGGTTTAGCGGTGGTGTTGCCATAGCTGGTAGGAGCTGATGCCATCTTAGTAAACACCTTCCATTGTTTGATACATTGTAAAGGGTTAAGGTTGCATCCTGCATCTGTTAAAGGTTTTTTATATTGCTCCAAACCAGCCTCACAAGGTACTTGCTATTTGCTTATACAACAGATAAGAAATAGCTTCATTTTATCTTCCGGAGTTCCTGCATCAGGGTCTGATATTATATCTAGAAGAGATTTATCCAGAGTAGTTTTGCTCATTATCTTTTCTTCATATTCAAAATATACATCCAGCTTCCTTGCCTTCATATGTTCTAAAATGGCAGTGGCAGGGCTGGGGATTTGGCTATGGTGTCACTGCCTGCCTCACAAGCATAAGGTTCTGAGTTTGATCCCCAGTACCTAAAAAAAAAAAAAAAAAACCAACCAAAAAACCAAAAACCAAAACAGCAGTGGCAACATTTGTATGGAGATCAGTAACTTTTTTTTTTTTTCCCCCAAGAAGTTCTGGCAAAGAACTCACAGCTGACATTAACTTAGCAATATTGTCAGAAAGCACACTATGGCCCCTTCATCTTCCACTTCCAGCTCCATAATGCTTTTAAGTCGTCTGACCTCATCTTCTTGTGCTCTATAATCCAGTTCTTGCTGCACTGATTCTGCAACTTCTGGGAATGGACTTCCTTTATGTTTCTGCCAAAATTTATCAACTGGAGTTAAATCGTAAGACTTCTTGGTTTTTTTCTCTTTGGTCTAGCACCAGCTGGAGAGTTTTCCATTCCTGAAGATTCTTCCAAATTTACTCTGTTTAAATGGAAATCCAGTATATCATGCACCAATGCTTGATATGTCCAGGTATGGTGCAAAGGAGTTGCCAAATCTATGTTTCTGTCAACAAGGACTAATAAAGGCCTTTGGAAGCCGAACTGGCCGGCTCCCAGTGTGTCACCTGTAAAAAGACTATTTCTTGCATCTCTTAGATTTTCCCCAAGTTTCTTATCTAGTTTTCCTGCCACCATTTCTGCTGTGGTTCCTCTTGAACATCTGATGATAGGAACAGCACCCAGTGGAACAAAAAAGCAGAAGAGGCTATCAACAACAGTGTCCATAACTGTTTCCATTTCTGTGTCTGTGACATCTGTTCTATTAATGGCACAATATGAAACAAGTTCCTTATTTTGATTACATAATACAAACATATCCTCCAAATAAAACTGAGATACTGATCAAAAACCTTTGCTACTTGTGTTACTGCACTAGCTGCTAATGCTGCATTTGCAATACCTTCCAATTTATTTCTTGAAATAGAAATAAAATTTAAATAATGATTCATACAGCTGATTCTGAAGAGCCTGGCACATTCTATCAGTATTTTCTTCAGCTGGCATTACAAAGTAGTACACTGCAGGAACATCGGGAATAGGGTCTCGATCAGAGTATAAAAGCAGATGCAGAGTGATCCCCATGTCTCTCAGCTCCTTCACAGACAGCAGAGGAGAGACTGTATCTTGACCAAATCTGTCATGAGAACCTTCCATACTGTTTCTCCTGTGCTGTTTTTAACATGAGGCACATGAAATCCAACATACACTTCAAAGCAACTGTCTGCCTCTCCCGCATACTAGCTGCCGCCATCTTGCCCGCAACCATCCACGGCTAGGCTGGCAAGCAGAGCGCAGAACACCTACTACCCCATTCTTAGATGCCTTGACAACTTACATATAATTTAGTCTCTGCCTCAAACTAACCAAACTCCATAATCTTTTAATACAATAATGAAAAGCTCAGGGGCTTTGAAGATGAATAAAACTGAGTCTCAATACCAGTTCCACCATTTTCAACCTATGTGACACTGGGAAGTAAACTGATCTCTCTAAACCCTTTTTCATCTCACACTAGATTTTTATTAGTACTAGAGATCATACACAGAAGATGCCCCGTGCAGAGCCTAGAGCTGCTGAGCTACTGAGATGATCACAGGTTGTTACCATCCACATAGCAGACGTCCTTGATATAGGACAAAAGCAAGGACAGCAGGACGTCCAGGCGTTCAGCTACAGGATGGACCATCTGACCAAGCTGCTCAGGACCAGCCTTTGTTTCATGTTCAGCTTCTTCATCTTCATCCTTTGAAGAAGCAAAAACTGACTTTAAAAATTCAGTGGAAATGGTTTAGTGGGAGAAAATCCTCACAAGTGGTTATTTTCCCACAGGAAAAGGGAGAAAATACTCAGGTATGTTCCTAAGCAGGGGCTCTTATCCAGGGATGTGAATCAGGGCCACTTGTGAAATTTGAGATAAAAGCAGATTCAGAGAGCCAGCTCAATTCTACTTTTTTTGTTGTTTCTGGGACTGAACCCAGGGCCATGCACATGCTAAGCCTCTGTTCCAACCCTGAGCTAATCCCAGCCTACACTCTCACTTGAAAGACCTCAGGAGAACTGACCATGCAAACATCAGGCTTCCTTTGCCCCTGCTCCTGGTGCCCACTGCACTGGGCACTCCTGCTGCTGGGTTCCCTTTTCCAGGTTAGGGTACTGATCACAAGACTGCTGTGAGTGTTGGCTGCCAAGATCCAACAGCTTCCCCCCTTGGCCAGCAGAAAAGGAGCCACGACCATCCCTCAGGACCACTGACAGACTGACTGACAAGGGATTAGAAGAGCCTGTGTCCCTGGCCCCAACTGCAGGACAAGACTACTGCTGTTCTCCAAGGGAGACCAGGCCCTCGCTCAGCTCCTTCTCCTGCCCTCTGCTCCTCCCTGACACACTCTGTCCCCTAGAACACCTGCCTGAAGACTTAGGCTCTTCTTCCACAGAACCCACCAGCGCTCAGGTAACACCCAAGATGGCAAAGTGCTGCCTTAAGGTATCCAACTGGCAACACAAAGCTAAGCTACTATGCTTTTCTACTTCCCATTTGCTCAAACACAAACACTGAAAAAACTATATGAATGAAAACAAAGCATATTTCACCAAACCTTAATTCAAAGCCCTGGATATAAGCTAATTGTATTAGGCAATAAATCACATGGCAGCAAAATACTCATTTAAGGAATTATTTTTAGATTTGCTAAACTATTTTAATTGTTTTAACCTAAAGCCTTGAAAAAGGTAAAAAGCCCCTAGGTATCTCTTTCCATACTCTGAAATGATGAAATTCACAGTCACAGATCTGCTTTAACAGAAATGCTAACCATATTAAACAATCCTTCCATGGAATCTGCCCCACCACAAGCTTGAGCTGCTGTCTCCTCAGCATCTTCAATATCCTGCCTTGAGGCATTCACCTACAATACAACAAAATAATAATAATCAAAAAATAAAGACATTTAACATGTAACTATTTGAGGGCTGAAAATTCCTCTGCCACACCTACTTCAAAGACATCCACATTAGCACCTTACACAACAATTACAGTACAAACCTATAAATTGATTTTCATCATGGAGGAATTAAAGCATCAATATTACATTCTATCCAGTATTAAATATTACAACCCAAGCCTTTTACTGCAAACTTAAAATCAACACAAACTGTGACAAGATACTCTAAATCAGCCTCAACACAACCAACATTTACTTTAACCTCTGTATCCTCGACACATACATGCTCTGTAAGCACATCATCAGAATAGAAAAATGATAAAGTACAAGCCAAATGTGAATGATTAAGTATGTACCACACTTCATATACCTCACTTTAACATACTGTTCAAATCATGCCTTTTTAAACTTTCTACAGAGGATCTTTTATTTTTTTGAGACAGGGTCTCACCATGTAGTTCAGACTGGCCTTGAACTCACAGCAATCCTCCTGCCTCAGCCTCCCAAGTGCTGGGATTACAGATGTGCACCACTATGCCCGGGCTCAACGCAGGATCTTTGTAGGCACACTTTAAAATGTACCAGAGAAAGACTAGGAAGATTACATAAGCAGTTGGCAGAGCCCCAGAGGAAAGTGCCAGCTTGCCCAACTTCCAGCTCTTCCCAGACCTGCTTTTTTCCACTTCCCAGCTCCCCTACAGTAAAAATATTTTTCTTCACCAAGGCTATGATCTCCCTAGGCCACAAACCTGCTCAGGTCTTCCCAGTTCTGACCTGTCTCTCACCCCTGCTCTGTCCCCTTCCCCTGAGGGCAGCACTCAAGGAGGTCTCTACCAGACCCACTTCCTAACCATCCACACTGTCTCCTGAAATAGTCTCTGTCTCTTTAGTGACAAGGCCCTCCAGAAAGCACAAAAGACCTCCTTCTCATCAGCAAATGCAAGCATTTTGCTTTTCTCAACCTTCTTCAAAATGTCGGCAATCTGTGATGGGGCTGTGTGGACCATTCCTCAGATGGCTGCTGTGGCATTTACTTGGTTTCTTCCACCTTCTGACCACTCTCACCCTCCTCTGGCCTGCACTGCATGGTTCCACAGGTTTGTTCTCAGTCCCTTACCTGCAGCTACAACCACCTGGTGCATATTCTTCAACTACCATCCCTATCAGCAACTCAACTGCCTAGAAAGAAACAAGCATCTTCCAACCTCCTGTTTCTTTTTGCTGTTTACGGAAACACCAAGAATCTATTCCACAGGTAACTACCTTTAAAGGATTTCTTTCCCTTACCCTCTGCTTGTCCACTTCCAACTCAGTCTTAAGGACCAGTTCACCTTCTCTCTACAATGTTGCTAGAATCTACCATTCCCTTTCATAATCTCCACGCATCTTACTGCAGGCCTCTTTAAACAAAATGTCCACTTCTTCATCATTATTATATGCTCTTGTGCACACAGAGTTCAAGAAATGTTAAATGAAGCAAATAATAGTGAGACTGGATTCTTCTGCACTGTTGCTACTATTGTTTCACATACTGTAATTATAACAAGTACAATATATTCAATAAATGAAAATCAAGAAGAAAAAATATATTATTCAATACTTACATCCAACCTGAGTAGCTTTTCAACAACAAGTTCTAGAATTTCATGCCTTAAGGTTGGAAAATAGACACTTATCCTCAGTAAATTATGAACGTAACATTCCTAAAACAAAAAGCATCAAAAAATAAAATGTTTTGGCACAGAAAGTTTCCTAATCATATAAGCAAAGTATCAATTATATAGCTAGAGGTTTTTTGGGGTTTTTTTGAGATAGGGTCTCACCATGCACTTCAGGTTGGCCTTGAACTCATTATGTAGCCTAGTCAGGCCTCAAACTCATGGTGATCCTTTCGCCTCAGCCTCCCAAGTGCTGGGATTACCGGCATGCACTACCATGCCTGGCTACAGTTTAAATAAAGATTATCCAGCAATATAGAAAATGTAATTTCAATACACAAATTTCAGTGTAATTCCTTCAATTATCCCCAATAAACTGAATTTGAAATTTACATATTTCTACACTTTTAAAAAACAGCTTGAGTTATTAATTCACATACCATACAATTCATTTAAAGTATAAAGTTTTTAGTATATTTCAAGTTGTACAACCATCACCAATGTCAATTTTAGAACATTATCACCCTAAAAAGAAATCCCTTATCATGGGTTAATTTTTTTTTTTTTTGGTACCAGGGATCAAACTCTGGACCTTGTGCTTACAAGGCAGGCACTGGAACCACTGAGCTAAATCCCCGGCCCAAGAAATCCCTTATCCATTAGTAGATCTTGTCTAAAAAAGTAGCCTTAGGCTGAGTGTGATGGCGCATGCAGGATGTCTTGAGGGCAACCTGGACTCAAATAGCAAAACCAGCAGTTCTCTTAAAAAAATAAAAACAAAAAATGCACCCCTACATAACCCCGAGTGTATGCTATTAATTTTTGTATTCTAGACACTTCATATAAATGGAATGTGATCTTTTAGCATGATTTTAAGTTTCACTTATGTTTAATATGAATTTATTACTGAATAGTTATTCACTGTATGCACAAATCATGTTGTTTACCTACCCAAGCATTTGATTATTAGGAATATGCATGTATGAGTTTTTGTGTAGACATGTATTCATTTCCTTGGGTGTGTACCTACCAGTGGAGCTAAGTTAAATTCTACTTTTAATGTTTTTGAAGGACTGGGGAGTTTTCCACAGTAGCTACATGATTTTATTCTTATCAATGAGGACTCCAGTTTCCTCACACCTAAGCCATCACTTGTTACTGTCTTGTCCTTTGGGCCATAACTATGCTAGTTTACAGATGTGAAGTAGTTTAGATTTGCATTTCCTTGTAGTTTTGATTTCTAGTTCCCTGATGGTTAATGATGTTAAATTTTTCATGTGCTTATTTTGGAGAAATGCCTATTTATATTCTTTGAGTTATCTGCTCTTCTATTTTTTTGTTTGTTTTGGTACCGGGGATCGAACTTGGGTCCTTGCACTTGCGCAGCAGGCGGCGAAACTGCTGAGCTAAATCCTCAGCCCTATTTGCTCTTCTATTATTGAGGGGTTTTTTACAGATGGAAGTCCTTTATCAGACATGATTTGCAAATATATCTTTTTATTTTTACTGACGGTGCCCTACGAAGCACTATAGTATTTAATTCTAAAGTCCAATTAATCTGTTTGACTGCTTACGCTCCAAGTGTTATATCCAGAAGTTACTAATTCACTGTCATGAAAACTTACACCTATGTTTTCTTCTAAGAGTTTTATTTGGTGTTAGCTCTTACATTTAATTCTTCCATCCATTTTTGGTTTTGGTTTTAAGTTTTTGTTTTTTGAGACATGGTCTCACTGGGCCACCATGCCCAGCTCTTCCATCCATTTTGAATTCATCTTTGTATACTGATACTCATACACTTCTTGTCTGGTTGGGTTTTTTTGGTACTGGGGATCGAACTTGGGTCCTTGCGATTGCGCAGCAGGTGGCAAAGCCACTGAGCTAAATCCCCGGCCCCCCATACACTTCTTTTTGGTAGTACCGGGGATGAAACCCAGGACCATACACATGCTAGGCATGCCTGTAATCGCATCTATTCAGGAGGCCAAGACAGAATTACAATTTCAATGTCAGCCTGGACAATTTAGTGACATTTTGTCTCAAAATAAAAATTAAAAGGTCTGGGGATATAGTTCAATGGTAGATAGTCCCTGGATTCAAAGCCAGTACCACAAAAACAGAAAAACATGTTTTATGTATGTTTTCTTTTCTTTTTTTAGTGCATGGGCTGGAACATGCTAGGCAAGCCCTCTACCTGAAGTCAAATCCCCAGCCCATTACTGGATCTGTATAATGACCGTATACCCTATAACCAGGCTGAATTTATTATCTCTTAATAGGTTTTTTTGTGGGTTCCTCAAGGCAACATATAAAACCATGTCATCTGCTAAAGTATTTTATTTCTTCCTTTGTATTTGAATGCTTTTAAAATCTTTTTCTTGCATAAAACCCCTGGCTAGACTGGGGGCAAGAGGAGATAGTCAATGGCATGTGCCTGTAGGCCCCGCTACTCAGGAGGCTGAAGCCCAAGGACACTTGAGTCCAGTTCAAGGCCAGCCTTGGTAACATAGTGAGACCTCATTCCAGAAACAGATAAAAACCAGGTATCAGGGCTGGGTTTAACTCAGTGGCACCCTGCCTGCCTTGCAAACTAAAAGGTCCAAAGGTCCTGAATTTGATCCTCAGTACCACAAAAAAAAAAAAACACACACACACAAACACATAAACACACACACACACACACACAAATCAGATATCCTTGTTTTGTTCCTTATCTTAGGGTAAAGAGTTTGGCCTTTCAACACTGAGTATGTCACTCTGTGGGTTTTTTCATAGGTGCCCTTCATCAGCGAAGTTCCCTTTTACTTTTGTTCCAAAAGGGTTTTAGGACTGGTCAGATACTTTTTCTGCATCTACTGAGGTGATCATGTGGATTCTGTCCTTCATTCTATTAACATGGTGTATGTAATTGATTTTTAGGTATTAAATTAACCTTGCATTACTAATATCTAATTTGGTCATGGTGCTTGATTCTTTTCATATGTTGAGATTCAGTTTTATAATGTTTGTTCAGATTTTCTGCATCTATTTTCATAAGCAATACCATCGTTTATAATAATCCACTTGAAACATACTATCAAAAACATTAACGTAAGTTATTAACTCCTCAAAACACTGTACATGTAATACCTTACTTAGAGAAACATGTATGCTAAGAAGGTAGCCACTACCAGTTACTGAAAACTCTAAAGATCACACAAATATTGCACAAAAACTTAAGCAAAATTTATACAAGTCTCTGATTTCATGTTCAAATAACACATTTATAATTAGCAATGTAGAATGGTTAACTTCTAGTAATTCTTAGCTGGGTAAGCATTAAGCCTCTAAAGATGTTTCTGAAATGGACTCTGAGCCTGACTTGCACATGAGGTAAAAAAGGCACTGGGAATCCCCAGCAGTCACCTGCTAAGAAGGTTATCGGAGGCAAATTTTTAACCTTGAGTTTAAAAATCTAGAAAACATTTTTTTTAAAAAAGACCAAGACCATTTGAAATGAAATGACTGAACAATCTTTCCATTACTTCCCCTATGAAAAATTGTCTTACCAATGTTCTTTCTGATTTTCTAACAAACGGAAATTTTTCTACCAGCATTGGCATAAGAAACCATGGTGTCCTATTAAAAAAAAAAAAAAAAAAATCCATATTAACTGAATTCCTAGGAAGATATTATTTCGATTCTAAGAGCAAACATGGACAGATACAGAAGGCAAACCAGAGTCTCTACGACAAGCAAATGAAAGTTAAATGTACCGTTTCAGAGAAAATCTAAAACAGCTTAGAGAAAATCAAGTTTTATTAACTTTGATACTAATAGCAAATCATAGGGGGGGTTCTTCTGCAAAAATTTAACAGAACTTTAGTTTAAAAGCTAAGCATTTCCCACCATACATATATGATTTTTAAAAAGGGGGAAAAAATCATCAACTTGGATTTTTTTAAGTTAACAAATAAACCTACAGAGGGAACTAGAAGTCCACCCCTCCAAAGAAACTCACAAACCTGCAAAGCTTTTCTTAGAACTGCAATTTTTATTCATATGGCATGACACAAATTCATATGGGGTTTCTCAGTGAAAATATTTGGATATCATATCTGTTGAAGATAAAAGCAAAATTCTAACCACTATACAGAACTGGGGAGAATCTACATATAAGTTATAAAAAATAATTAAAGAGAATGAATAGAAAACAGAAAATCCATTTTTGGTAAAACTTGATGTTTCATCAATACACTGCTAAAACATAGCATACAACCCAAGTTTTGATGCTATGAACATTTTATAAATTTCTACTAGTAAATTATAATTTTCTCTTTTTTTTTGCAGTGCTACAGATTGAACCTAGGGCTCTGCACATAATAGGAAAGCACTCTATCACTAAGCAACAGACCCAATCGGACAGTTTTCTTAAGAAAAACACAACATAATTCAAAGTAACAAAAGTATACTCACGATGGGACATATCTTGCTATTATTTGCAAGGCTCTATGACATGTGTCAAAAATTGCAGGAAGGTCTGTAAGGAGAAAGTTCAGAGAGTATGAACATCAAAACAAAATTGAAAACTGAAAAATCTTATGTTGGAAGCTAAAAACACTTGCTAACCAAAACTGGGCAGTTTCTCAGAGAAATATTTCAAGATTTTTCTCTACAACTATCAAGGAAGACAAAATAGACTCATTATATTAGTAACACATTTAGTGCAACTGTGTATCACAAAGACTCTACCAAAAGTTATTATTTTTCACCATCTACTTATTGGACAGGGATCCAGTACATTTTATCATTCAGCATACATTCTCTAGACACAGGGGGCCTTCTATGCTTTAATTCTTTTATACTTACTATCATCTTCATCATCAGAATCTGAAACATCTATGTCACCTTCCTTAGTGATCACTCGGGCTTTTGGGGAGAAAGAAATATGTTATTCTTCTGAACAATGAACAATTATACAAAAAAAGCAATTTTTTCACAGTCCAAATTCAGTACAATGATTATATTGCTGGGGGTGGGGAGTACATATATTTTGATATATATATATAAAAGTATTGATATATTTTTAAGATACAAATTCCTAGATAAGTTCGAAGACTGTCAGAGACTCAATACAGGAAACTACAATCCATCAAAAATTAATAATAAATTTAAATTAGCTACAAATGAATCTAGATACCTCCCTAGGGGACAGATGTCTACCAGAATGCCAACATGCATCCCTGGAATCTTCCATATGGCAAAATCTCCAAATCAACCGACTTCTTTGAATAAAGAAATTTAAAAAACAAAACCCAAAACACCACATGCATCCCCACTTCTGCCTGCCTGTGACATCCTGTGCTGCCTCAGCACTCTGCCAGCAAGGCAGCCATCACAAGGCGGGGTCCCTTGACCTGGGACCAGAAAAGTGAGCCAAAATACACCTCTTTTCCTTACAAGAAAAGGAGAGCAGAAAGGAGAAAAGGGGGAGGGACAGAGATGGAAGGGAAAAAACAAGTCAAAGAGTAACCACTTACGAGGTACCAAATGAGAGGCAATCATGCTGAGACATGGTCTAAGGAAGACAGTCTGTGCTGACACCAGATTACCAAGAAAGGCCAAATACTCCTCCACCACTGTTTGACTTCTGTTCAACCAAGGCAACCGCTACAGTTGGGAGAAGAGGAGCATTTCACTGATATACACTATTTTCAAAGTGCTGAACTACCTACTAGTCATGGAAATAAAGAACTTACCAACAAAATGCTGATAAGCTGCTCAAAGTCTTTTGTCAAGTACGTGATAGAAGAGCGGAATTCCAGCAGCCAGTTAATGATCTGGTCATCCTTAAATTAAATAAAGAGAAGTACTTTCAGAATCACAAATACTCTGAGGTCACAGAAAATGATATATCTGTTGGGTGTAATGGTACACATCAATAACCCCAGGTACTTGGGAGACTGAGGCAGGAGGATCACAAAATCAGAGCCAACTTGGGCAACTTAGCAAAACAGTCTTAAAATTTAAAAAAAAGTTAAGCCTGGCAGAATGGAGCACTCCTATAATCTCAGCCCTGGGGAGTTCAAGGCCAGCCTGAGCTACATAATGAGTTCAAAGTCAGCCTACATTACATAGCAAGACCCTATTTCAAAAAAAGAAAAAAAAGATAGATAT